CTTAACACAAACTCTGCTCAATAATATATAAAAAATAACATAAAATATTTCAATCAGAATAAATTAGTTTATTGGATTATAATCATTTAACTTTTTATCCATTTGGGGCAGAAAATAAATTAGCATGAACTTCATCCATAGTGAGTTAAGTCATTAAATTAAAAGGATGCAAAAATCGGTCTGTTAGATTATGCTTGATAGAAATTGGATAAGGAACTGGTGATCAAAGACTAAGATAGTTGTCACTGGAAATAATGAGCATGATGGAACTCTGGGTAGACATTTTGATGACTTTGCATAAATGTACTAGAACTCAACAAGTTGATTAGCAGAAGCCAGATACATAGGTTGGCAACAAGATGGCTGGAGGCTAATAGAAGCGAAGTCAATTGGGTGGCAGAAGCTGGATCCATAGCTCAGGAAAGAGAAACCATGGACTCCTTAACCTAAGGGTCTAAAACCACTGGATCCACAGCCCAGTGAGTAGCAGCTACTAGATCCATAATCCAGAGAGAAGACACTGCTGGACTCATAGATATGATATAAATTGATTTGCAGGGACTGCAGATCATGGAGATCCTCGGGCAGTAGCAAGATGTCTGGCGGGGCTGGACACCACACAGGATGCCTGGCAGCTGGTGGGCTCACATCAGGTCTCCTGACAGCCTCTGTGGAGAGAGAAGCCCAGCTGGCAGGTGCTGGGAGAGCAGAAGTCAATGCTGTAGACTAGGTTGTTGGGGTAAGAAGAGCCATAGGAGGAGCCTGGGTAGGTAGCTCAGGACCTCCCTCCCCCAAGGGCCTGGGAAAATAAGTTTCCAGAGCAGTAGCTGTGGGACATGTTGACAGGAGATATGAGTTCAGATTAGTCACAATGAGAAAATTCTGAAGTTTAAGATGATTTTGTGCACTGGGTATTTTATATACTCATCAGATGGTACAGCACAATATAGGTACAGTCCTCTCATATCATCTTCACACCCTCTTCTGCATTTGTGTAATTCATTTACCTTCTCTGTCATTGCAGTTGACTAGCTTCGTACCTATTGTACTTATGGGTACAATGGGTACAATGATCATTCCTATCTCAGAAATTCCAGAACAATTTGTCAGTAATCCTCAACCTATTATGGCCAGGAAAGCCCCTTCTTTTCCCCCTGGCTAGGACTCCGTGTGTATCTATTCCTGCTTTGCTCGGGAATTCTTTCTGTCACTTTTCTACTATGTCAGGTGATAAGTGACATAGCTTTATTTTTTATAAGGATACTTCTAATGATTGATTCTACTTGTCACCACTGACTTACATTCTCCAAATTTATTTTTCATCTATCACATAGTATTATACAGTACTTCTCACATCCAATGGAGGGAAGAAAAATAACACATAATGGGAAGTGGCTAAAAATAGGAAGGAACCAGACAAACATTTAAAGGCAAAAGACTGAATTGAGATGGAGTCACAAGAAGAGGTTGACTCAGGCCATATGAAGAGGGAGCAGGAGTGATGGTGACAATGTGGGAATCTGGAAAAAGGGAATGAAGAGACAGGGATTTCAAGTATCTCTTCTACCTTCTTTTAGCCTGTGGAACTTTTCATCTAAATGCCATTTAAAGGGCACCTGTGTGGCTCAGTTGGTTAAGCATCTGCCTTTGGCTCGGCTCATGATCCCAGGGTCCTGGGATGGAGCCCAACATCAGGTTCTCTGCTCAGTGGGGAGCCTCCTTCTCCCTCTTCCTCTGCCTGCTGCTCCCCCTGCTTGTGCTCTCTCTCTCTCTCTGCCAAATAAATAAATAACATCTTTAAAAAATGTCATTTAAAAATATTATTAATGTATTTTTACATATTTTCATTCACATTGTCCAAATTTTAAAAGAACCTGGGGCCTCCCTCCTAGAACAACTCAGCCTCTCCACTGCTCAGACTGAATCAGTTTTGTGCATTTCCAAAGTCAGCTCCTTTCCTGTAATTTCCTCCAAAATATTAAATAAGGGTGCTGGGTGGCTCAGTCAGTTTAAGTATCGACACTTGATTTCAGCTCAGGTCATGATTTCAGGGTCGTGAGATCGAGTGCCCTGTCAGGCTCCATGCTGAGTGTAGAATCTGCTTAAGATTTTCCTCTGGGGGTACCTGGGTGGCTCAGATGGTTAAGTGTCTGCCTTCCGCTCAGGTCATGATCCCAGAGTCCCGGGATTGAGGCCCGCGTTGGGCTCCCTGCTTGGCGGGGAGCCTGCTTCTTCCTCTCCCTCTACTGTTCCCCCTGTTTGTGCTCTCTCTCGCTCTCTGTCAAATAAATAAATAAAATCTTAAAAAAAAAAAACAGATTCTTCCTCTGTATCTCCCTCTGCCCCTCCCCCCACACTCTCCCTCTCCTCTCTCTCTCAAAAAAAAATGCATGTATAAAATAACCCTCTTTTATCACCCTTATTCTTCATTTTATTTTTCTTTTGAATAATACAATAACTGAGTATTAATTTCCAATGGGTTCACTATTCAGATAAATTTACACTGAAATAAATACTAACAGATTTTTTGGGGGGCTGAAGGAAAATAATCTTAGGTGGAAACAACAAATTCCAAGAAAGAATAGAGAGACTATTTGCCAGTTGTATTCTCCAGGAAGCAGGCACTGAGACACTGATAGAAGAACAAAAAGTTTGTAAGAGAGTAGCACCCGTGAATGAAAAAAGCCATTCTACCACCTTGTTCAGTCACTGACCATGGGTCAGGGGCTGCCATGAGAAAAGCTTGACCTTGCCTTGAAAGCTGAGGGAGAGCCCAAAGAAGCCAACAGAGAAACCTTGTCGGCTGGCCTCACTTGTCAGCCAGACAGCCATTCCTTTTGTGAAGTGATGTGATGTGTGTTCCAGTGCAGATCTGTACCTGTCACAGTCCATTGGTTGCATCTTCAGGGTTAACTTGTCAGGAAAGAGATTCTCCATGGCTGTGGTAGAGCTCTATTCCTGAGGGGAAATATAAAAGGGCAAAGCCATGGCATGAAACACGGTCCCTGTCACTGCATTTGGTCTTGGAGCTGCAGCTGATGCTCACCATCTCCCTCACTCACTATCCATTAGAAATTTGTCTCACCCTTAGTTACCACCTCTGGTGGTCATGGTGGATTTCTTGGTGGTATTACCCAAGCCTTATTCCTAAGAAGTGTGAATCCTGATAATTGTACCTTTTTCTTGCTAGAGTTGCTACATTTGACAAGTCATGTCCACAGTTGGATGGGAGGTTCCAAGAGCCACCCAAGGAGACCAACTGAGCTTCCCACGTATTCCCTCTTCCCTCATTGTGTAACAGTAACCCAACTACTTTCTACTAATCAGGATCAACTCCTCTTGCATAGATGACAACTCTCTTTTTGCCTGTTGGTACCTGAATAAAAGGAGCCCAAAGTGCTCAGGCAGCAGCCATAGCTATAGTTTAATGAGACCCTTGATGTGTTCCTCAGCAAGTCTGCCTTTGGGAACAGGGCCTCTATCCTTGAAAATTCCAGCTGCAGAATAGGAAGCACAAAGTTCTTAAATGGGTCTTTGAAGTAATAGTAGGTAGATATTTGCAGCCCAATCTTTTGAGGATATTGCCTCCATGCTAACACTTCAACTTTGTAGTCAGTAGGCCAATCCAATGCACCATCAGGCAGGGAGCTTCAGGGTGGTGTGGTTTTTGATAAAACCTGTGGATCTCACTTACACTGTCTCTACTGTGAAGTGGATTTCCTGTGTGGATGCTACATTGTGAACAATCCCATGCTGATAGATCGAACTATTCATTAACTCCTGAATAATGGTGCTGCTGAGGTAAGCATTAAAAGCAAACTCTTACACTGAATACGTATCTATACATTTGAGAACGAACACTGATCTTCCCAGAGCAGAAGAGGACTGCGTTCAACTTACAACCAAGCAGCCAGTTGGTCTTCTTGAGGACTAATGTCATACTGGGAGTTTAACATTAGCCTCCATTGCCAAGATTGGACGTTCACAGGTGGCAGTTATATCAGCCTTGTCAGTAGGAGCTGATGCTGCCTGAACCATTCATAGCCTCTGTGGTCCCTTGTTCATCTTGTCATCTTATCATCTTGTAGGGATTGCTGACAAAGGTAAGCTCACATCAACTGGCAGAGTCATTTTGTTTACTTGATTGTTTCATTCCTCTTTCATGGTGGACGTGTTCTGGTGGGCACTGAAAGGAAATACAGATCTTCACATTTTGTGCCCACTGCATGTGTCTATCCATACATTTCCACACCAGATTTCTTTGTATCCATTTTCTAACATTGTCCTTTCCAGGTCCCTAACTAGCTGATCAGGTCAATTGCCACTGTCCAGGAATTTAGATGTATCAGATGTGTTTTTTCCTTTTGTCAGCAAAAGTCAAGGTCCCACAACCTTTGGAGGAAATATGCTCTATATTTCTCCTGAGAGTATTATCCATATAAAGTTTATGCATAAAAAAAGGATTCAGAAAAAAAGTTTTAAAGAAAGAAATGTCTAAAGCCCAAAATAAATTAGTTCAAATTCACTAATCTATTAGATTTACAAAGTTTGTTCCCAGAGACATAATAAATATTAACTTGAAACCCCCCCAAAAAAAACAAAAGAAAAAAAAATTACCCAGTTAAAACTAACAAAATTAACAGAATATTTGGAAGCCAGAATGAATGAGTTTATTACACTATATTCATTTAGGTTTTCATCTCTCTTGTGAATAAAATGTATGAACACAAATCCCATTAATTCATTAACATTAGTTCATGTTTATTAACATAAATTCCATTAATTGATCTCACAATTTATTTCATTAATTCCACTAATTCTATAAATTCATCCAATAAAATTAGTCATTAAGTTCAGTATATGTTAGAGATTTTGGCCTTTTTTTGGCCAGCACGTTGTGGCTGGAAAAAAAAGGTGATTGGAGAGTTTTTCTTGAACATCATGAAGATGATAAACTCTGTGTTTAGAGGTTAGACACATTGCTCTAAAGGTCAGGATCCTCAACAAGTTGATGTATAGAAGCCAGATCCACAGGTTGGTCTAGAACACGATGACTTGCAGCTTCTGGAAGTGAAGTAGGTTGGGCGGCAGAATCTGGATCCATAGCCCAGAGAAGGGAAGCCATAGACTCCATAACCCAGTGATCTGAAGCCCTGGGATCCACAGCCTAGTGAGTAGCAGCTTCTAGATCCATAGCCCAGGGAACGGCAGCTGCTGGACCCAATGCCCACAGACCCAGAGCAAGTCGTCTGGCAAGGATTGCAGAGCGTGGAGGTCCTCGGGCGGTGGCAGGACGTCTGGCAGGGACTGGACACCACACGGGATGTCTGGCAGCTGGTGGGCTCACAGCAGGTCTCCTGACAGCCACTGGGGAGAGAGGATCCCAGCTGGCAGGTGCTGGGAGAGCAGAGGTCAGTGTGGTAGACCAGGTTGCTGGGGCAGGAAAAGCCACAGAAGGAGCTTGGGGAGCACAGGTATGCCCCAAGGGAGTGGGAGGAGTAGTTTCCAGAGCAGCAGCTGTAAGGCATGTTGGCAGGAGATGTGAGTTCAGCTGAGTAACAGCAAGAAGATTCTGAGGTTGAATGTCACCTACTGCACTGGGGCACTTTTATACTCTCAGCCATGGGTGTGGCATTTTTTACAGTCGTTTTTCCCACACTTGGAATCTCTCATTTCCATATGTGTAATTCAATGATATTTTTTGTAATTGCTGGTGATTCCTTCCATCTCATATTTATAGGAGAATTCATCATGTTGTTATAGCACCAAGCCAACGAACTATTCCAAAGTCAGAAATGCTATGACTGTATGTCATTAATGCCAGCTAATCAGGGCCAGAAAAGCCCTTCTCCTTGGCTGAGACTCATTGTGCCTTTGCCCATACATTGGCTGCGGAATGCTTAGATCTAAAGGCGGGGATTAAGGTTAAGTCATTTTTTTTTCTCCCTCCGTGGAAAAGAAGCACCCTATTTTGTCACCAATGATTTTCTTTCCGTAAATTTATTTCGTCCCTTAAAGTTAGTTTTCATATATTACATTATTACATATTGCCCCTCAAATCCAATAGAAAGGGGAAAATAGATAATATAAATTGATTGAGAAATATGGTGGATCACAGAGATAAATCAGGACAGATGTTTAAAGGCAAAATGACTAAGCAAGACTAATTTGAAAAAGAGTCTCAGTGGATACCAGTTTATACACATGCAAAAAATTCCAAAGAGTCAAATACTCTTGAGGTGTGGGAAGATAACTAGTGACATGATGGATCTTTCCATCTGTGTGTAATTCCAATAAAAATGGGTTCTAGATCAATATACTTTATAGCTTTTCATATATACATTGTCCCTTTTATCATCTGTCCTTACAGTGTGTCCAGTGATCCTGCTCTCCTGGGACAATTCTTATCACGCAGGACCTTCTGGTCATTTTTATCTTTAGATTCTTTCATATAATTGTTTCCTTCATTATAAAAACATTTTTTCCCTACTTCAGTTCCTCAAGATTATTTTTCCATTGTAAAATATCCAAATACTGTCTTTTATAGAGCTCTCCATGTCAAGCAAACCTAGGCTAAAATGAATACTGAAGTGTTTTCTCCAGTTAGGAAGGCAATTACCTCAAAGGGGAAGTTATAATTGCAGGAGGTGATAAAAATGATGGAACTATAAGTGAATTGTCTAAATACTCATTGTGCATAATACTAATAAAGTGGTTTGCGGTTCTTAATAAATAGGTAGAAGTAAATAGTAATTAAAGTGATCATTAAAATCTTTTGAAAGCTTACTAAAAAATTTAAAAATGATAATAACCTAAAAGGGTAAAATTATAGCTTTAATCATTTTATTACCCCTCCCAAAAGCATGAAAATTTACTATTACAAATAGTAAATGTGTAAGTAGAAATCTGAAAGTATCAATGATTAAATTAAATATAATAGACTGAATAATCCTTATTGAAAACTTAGAATATCAGACTGGACTAGAAACCCAAGCTATTTCCTACTTAAAATAGACTTTCTTAAATATAAGGAAACAGAGAAGGGAGAAAGTAAAAAGATACATCAGACAAAAGAAACAAACAAAAATGCTACTTCTGTTTTACTAACTTCAAAGTTTGCTGTATGATAACATGTAAAGCATCGTGTTATTAGATGTAATACAAGATATTCCCTAACAATCATTCTGTCAGACTTCCAGGATGATATCCATGATTTTGTGATTCATTTAGAAGTCAACACCATACCACCCAGCAGAGTAGCCACTAGCCATATATATCAAGTTCAATTTATATCATTTAAAATTAAGTTAAATTAAAATTTGGTTCCTCAGTCACGTTAGCCACATTCCATGTGCCCAATAGATACATGTGGCTGATGGATACCATATATTGGAAAATGCAGATAAAAAGATTTTCAGCAACACAGAAAGTTCTATTGGACAGTGTTGCCTTAGAGTTCACAGCATGCTTTGTTGACTTGCTAATAGAAATGAATACCTTTACTATTTCCGGTCCAGTGCAAGAGTGTCAGAAATCTTAAGGTCAATTATTTTTACCCCAATTCATGTACTATGTTAGGATTTTCTGTATTGTAATTTCATGTGTGCTTATGTATATTGATATATATTTGCCTCCATGTTTTTATGACCAAAATGTGCTTAAATTTATCATATATATATAAATATATATAATATATGTATATATTTCTTTTGTTTACTCTTCATTTCTTCTTACATCTTTTTTTGTATGTTCTGAGATTATTTTGTTTCTGACCAAATATAACTTTTATTATATATTTTAGTGTTGGAAGCCTAGTAACACATTCTTTACAGGTTTGATTGTCTGAAAATGTCTATATTTCTCCTTCATTTTTTTTTTTTGAGAGCGAGAGAGTGGGGGGGGCAGAGGGAGAAAGAGAGAGAGAATCTCAAGCAGTCTCCACGCCCAAAACAGAGCCCAACTATGGGCTTGATCCCACGACCTTGAGATCATGACCTAAGCCAAAATCAAGAGTCAGATGCTCAGCTGAGCCACCCAGGCGCCCCTCTCCTTCATTTTTCAAACAAAGACTCATTAGTCAAGGACTCTAAAGTTTTCTTTCTTCAGAAATTTGAGGATATTTAATTGTCTTTCTACTTTCCTTTTTTCTGTTTAGAATTCAGCTGTCAATCTTACTGTTGCTTTTTTTAAGGTAACTTGCATTTTCTTTCCCTTTGGTTGCTTTAAAATTTTCTCTTCTTTTTTGTTCATCAGTTTGACTCCAAGGTATTCTCTTTATTTGTTAGTTTAAATACGTTCTCCAGAACAATCTCTAATTGTCTCTCCAGCTATGTCTAATTTCTTTTCAATCCATTCAACAATTCTATATTTAACTTATTGCATTTTTCAATTTTAGAATTTCTACTTGGTTCTTTTAATTTTTTTTTCTTTTTTTAGAGAGAGAGCATGAGTGGGGGTGGGGGGAAAGGGCAGAGGGAGAGGGAGAATCTTAAGCAGGCTCCACACCCAGCATGGAGCCTGATGTAGGTCTTGATCTCATGACCCTGAGATCATGACCTGAGCCCAAATCAAGAGTTGGACACTTAACTGACTGAGCCACCCAAGCACCCCTCTACTTGGTTCTTTTAATATGTTTCTCTCTCTCTTAAAATTTTAAATTTATCTTTTTATTTCCTAAAATGAATTCTACTATCTGATATATATTTTGGATTTAGTCATTTCTTAACTTCTTGAAGTCTAGGAAATTTCCCTAGGATATCAGACGATCTGTGTCTACATCATCTATCTATGTATATCATCTATATACTCATTTATATCTGTGTAAAACTCTATCCACCATTATATCTATACCTCTAAGTCTATGTCTGCATTTATAATTTATATTTATATTTATCTATGAAAAGAAATAATTTAAGGTCACCTCTATACCATGCTACATTTTTTTGTAGTTTGAAGTTTTTATTTAAATTCCAATTAGTTAACATATAGTGTGATGTTAGTTTCTGGTGTACATTACAGTGATTCAACACTTCCATACAACCTCAGGTACTCATCACAACAAGTGCACTCCTTAATCCCCATCACCTGTTTAACCCATCCCCCTGACCACCTCCCCTCCAGCAACCCTCAGTTTGGGTTTTGTATAGTTAAGAGTCTGGTTTATGGTTTGCCTCTCTCTCTCTCTCTCCCCCCACCATGTTCATCCGGTTTGTTTCTTAAATTCCACATATGAGTAAAATCCTGTGGTATTCGTCTTTCTCTGACTGACTTCTTTTGCTTAGCATGCCACAACTTCTTTATCCATTCATCAGTTGATGGACATTTGGGCTCTTTTCATAATTTGGCTGTTGTTGATAATGCTGCTATAAATATTGGGGTGCATGTATCCCTTCAAATCTGTATTTGTATATCCTTTGGGTAAATACCTAGTAGTGCAATTGCTGGATCATAGGGTAGCTCTATTTTTAATTTTTTGATACTGTTTTCCAGAGTGGCGACTCCATTTTGTGTACCATGCAAATCTAATCGAGCATTGAAATGATTGGGAACTTAATTTCAGTTCATAGGAAGGGGTAAATAAATATTGAAGTTTCAGCCTAGTCCTAAGGTGTTGTTCAGAGTCACAATTTTGGTCAAAATCATTGGAAATTTCTAACTTTCAGTTTTGGTTACCTGAGCTCATGAGTCTCATCAGCCTCCCTTTTGGATTCAGCAATATCCCTAATTGAAAAGTAGTCACAAATTCTATGACTTTGTTGTTGTTATTGTTGTTGTTAAAACCTCCCTGACATTTTGGCCCTGGTAACTTCTGGACATTTTCACATATATTTTCTTTGTCTAAATTTTCTAGACAAAAATATTGGTTCCAAGTATTTTTTTCATTTGTAAGTATATCAATTTTTATCTTATTCCCCCCTTAGGAATAAGCTTAAAATTCATAACCAAACCTTAGATGAAAGATTTATCTTATAATTACGAAAAAGTGGCTAGAATAGGTGAGAAATAGAGTAGGAGTGTCCAATCACAAAATTATTTATTTTATTTTTAAGATTTATTTATTTATTTTAGAGAGAGAGAGAAAAAATGTGGGGGGAGGTCAGAGTGAGAGAGAATCTTAAGCAGACTACAAGCTAAGTGTGGGGCCCAACCTGGGGCTTGATCTCATAACCCTGAGATCATGATCTGAGCCAAAACCAAGAATCAAGTCTTGACTGTGCCACACAGGCACCCCACAAAACTATTCTAGTAGTTTGAATGGAAGGTGGTGGAAACAAGAATTATTGCAAATTAAAATATAATACCTCTAAAAAAATAAATAAAAGGTAATACCTCTAAATGATGGAAGAACAGTTACTCATTAACTATTTTTAACCATGTTTATCATTGTCACACCATATAAAATATCCTTCAATTGTAAGTTAACCAAATTTACAGTCATTCCTTCAATGTAAAAGTAATTTTCAGTCTTTTCTACTCTGTTTATTTTATTTCATCTTCCCAGATTTCCCTTTTGCCCCTTCTAATACTCCTATGTCTTTGCAATTCTAAATAAACTTCACCTTTTAAGATGCCTTGGGACAGGTATTCCTTAGAAGTTCCTTATTCCTTCTGTGTCTCCCTTTTCTCACACTTAACATAACAAATTTATAATGAGTATCTTTCTCTAAGGGCTGTTGTATAGCCTAAAGAAATAAGGCTTAGGGACATTTATTGAATATGTGTTAACTCTTTTTGTTGTCAGTTTTAGGTTCCTTATCAAAATCTATCTATTTTCGCTCTTTGCTATCCCTGAAAATACTTTCCCTGAGAAAACAGAGAATATTATCATGGAAAAGAGAAGTAATGTTTCCCCATTTTTTAAAGATACACATTAAATCATCACT